CAACACAAGGCGATTAATTTAATTTCAACATATTAATAAATATGAACAACAATTATATCCCACTTTGTAATAATTAGATAGTAGATAGTACTCACGCCAGACATTTACTTTTAAGTGAGCAGGCGCGCTTTTAAACATTCAGACCACTATTCGTTATAAAAGTTCTATTTTTTGCTTCATTCATTAATAATACAGATAACGGGTTACAAAAGCTTAAATAACAAAACAATTAAAAATTAGTACTTAGTTAAATGAATACTTACAGGATGAAATCCCCCTTGGAGTAAGAATTCAAGAGCAGCATGACAAAAGAAACCAAACCTCTCTCCATCATTTCTACAACCATATATACAACCTGTCCAAAAAAACCTAAGAAGTGGGGATAAATATATTAGATATTTCCTTGAAATGATCCTGCAAAGACGAAATTCAAGTGCAAGCATAAAGATGCCAATCATTTGAAATGATACTTTATTTAAGTCCATATGCGAATAGAAGGATTTTGTAAGAAAAGAAAATGAAACGAAAGGAGAGAGAATAGAGGGAGGTTTTGTCGTCAGAGTATCCTCTCAAAAAATAATTTCTGGTGCACAATACTATTGGAAGTTGCATACGCAAAAACAACTTGAAATGGAACTGGAGTTTATCAAACGATTTTTTTTTTTTTCTGGAGACAAGAAATAAGAAACAATATATCTAAAGGAAAAAAATGCACAACAATCAAGAGGGGAATATGAAATATCCTCTCCTCTAGCAATCAAAAGCCAAGGAAGAGATAATGAGGAAAGTCAAACAATACAACTCATTCTTGATAATATAATGACATAGTTATAAGATTTACCCATTTTGAGGCTCCAGAAAGTAAACAGAGAGCCCTTCCACTTTGCCGAACCAGACTTTTATTTCTGTTCCACCCCAAAAATAAGTTTGTTGATGGTGAAAATTTGCCACCTACATAATGAAATTTTTTGGTCAAAATCGTTGACATGTTCAGAATATGGGGAGTAAGTAAGACACGAAGGCTCCTATGCAGAGATCAATCGAGAAAAAAAGGATTTACAATATCTCAAGATATTAAAGCATTCGTAATGTGCATCTTTAAAAGGCCACGAGGATATGGTAAAAAGGAGGAAGTATGGAAATTTCAGTTTAGGCAAAAACTTGATCAATCTTGCAGCTAGCAGGTTGCACATCATGCAATACATCATTAGCCATTCTTAGCAAAATTCTTGTGCTGAAATCATTACAATGAGACCAAGCAGGTTGCACATACTTCAAGGTTCTCGTTTACTGCATGCATGTTCTTTCCAAGATAAAAAGTGAAAAAAGGGGACAACCCATGTGTATGCATATCCAGTAATAGAAAGATTAAAATGTAAGGAGATTTATAAACTAACTGGCAGTGAAGCTTACATTGCTAAGGTTCAGAGAGTCATATTTAGGAAGAATAATGTCCACATTGTGGCTCAAATCTTGAATGGCACGGGATAGACTGGTCACAACATCACCAAGACCTCCAACCTGAATTGCATAGTAAATAAGACAGATACAAATGTAAATGAGTATTTTTCTCTAGCAATAACTGCATTAACAAAAAGGGGAAATCATATTTATCACGACAATATCCCAGAAATTAGAAGCTGATGTATCAGAGGGACAATGTGGAAAGTGGTAGCAATTCTCAATCAATAATCGTGCATGTTTATCTGCTCTCTTACATTTTGGCATGGTAGTTTGATCTTCACCCTTTCATTTCATTTTTTTCCCTTTTCTGAATGCAAATTACTAAAAAGTTCTCATGTTCTCAGGTTCTGACTAGGACAGGATAGTGGATAAATCCTGCAGGTTGTATATATTCATCCTTGTATTTTAAGGAAAAAGTTCTCGTGCTTTCACCATTCTATTTTGTAAACATTAAGAAATTAATAACAATAAATAAATAAATAAACCCAGAAAAGCGCAAAGGACTGGGTTGGAAACTTATGGCAGAATAATGTTTCCAAAGATAAAGATCTGAATTAGACTACCCCTTCCTAGTCTTATATTGATAGAAACAATCAAATAACTACAATTAGCTTAAACACTACGAATCCTTACTCCCAACTGAGGGTGCTCCAAAAGGTCCTGCCGATTAGAACCTCGTCAATTGGGCCGTCTCTAAAGATTCTCTAATTTCATTTTTAGAACATAACCTTACCGGTGGGGAAATCCTTAAGAGTAAAATTAAAGGTGGGGAGTTGGGGGTATACCACTTGTCTTCTAATGAAAGATATGGTAATTATATCACATTACGGGGAAATTTGAACAAAGGAAGGTCTGATAAAAAAAAATTATGATTTCCCCACTTAATAGTAGGTTACTAAAAATAATGAAGAAAATAGTTCATAAAATAGCTTTTCAAAACAGTACTCCAATAGAAGCCACTATTTTAACAGTTTCACACTAACATTATGTAGTTTGAGAACTGCTCAAATAAGATTACTTAGTTAACCTTAAAAGAACAAAGAAGACATTGAACAATGAAACAACTCAGAATCAAAAGTTTACCTTAGCAATAGGGGCCATTTCTACAGCAATATGCACAATATGCAATGGTGGTTCCTTAGTTATTCCACCAGTCACAGGTATGTGATAATCCATGCCATTTTTGTTGTCAAATATCCCACCATCTTCTCTCTCAGAAAATACAAAATCCATCATATATGCATCCAGTGGAACCTTAACTGCAGAAACAAAAGGAAAATAATATGTTCAAAAATCTTGTAAGGGACGTACCGAGAGACGAAAAAAGAGAGAATCTCAAGGCATCAACATTACAGCAAAAGTGACTGGTTAGAAAACATCAAGGACATCTCTAATCTCACCCAATGATTAAAAGGTTATAGAAATGGAGTCTCACCAGTGGCTTTCACGTGACTGCCACTATCTGCAGGCAACATTTTCTGTGGTGGCAATGGACCTTTACGATGGGACCAACGATTAAATGAACATCTGAACCAAACTTCAGGTTTTCCATTCAGAGGTGCGTTGGCAGGATTGTAAAAAACTGTCACTGGACTTCCTGCTTGAACTTCAACAGGATCAGTAAACACTACGTGCTTCTGTGACAACAAAAAGTTTTTCAAGGTTCTTTCCCTCATCTCAGATTTCATACGTGCTGTTTTTTCAGCCTGAAACAAAAGAAATATGTAAATCAGTAGCTGTGAGAGAGAGATAGATTGCTTAAAACTTGGATGAGAGGAGGAGAATTTAAGCAGGCTAAGGCAAAACAAGAATATCCCACCTAGACTAAGCTACAGAATCACTTAAGAAAATAAAATAAAATAAAAACAAATAAAGAAAATACGCAGCAGTTCAGGTTGATGCTTGATATCATCTTCATTGAGCCAATATATAAGAAAGGGCGACCAAAAATTTTGTGCACATTATGGTTTTATTGTCAAGATATAGGTGTAGAATTGTTACTTAAAATCAAAAGGAAATTAAATAACAAGTCAGCCATAAATTTTTGGTGAATTGACCTTGGCACGGGCAGCCTCCTCCCTTAATCTCCTCTCTTCCTGAAGTTTACTATAAATCCGGTGCTCTTCCTCAACCCAGTAAAGCTCCTCAGAAATGGATTTTGGAACAATTGCATGGAAATCATGGCGATGGTTGTTATCATAAGTATTGGCATTTCGGGGTAGTCCATCAGCAAGAACCCAATCCAGAACAATGGCTTGATCAGGTACAATTACTGCAAAATGTATGGTTGTGTCTATATGATGAAATTCAATGCTAACTATAAAAATAACATCCAACGTTACCCTGAAAACAAAGAGAAAAAACCCCAAGAGTAAATTAATTTTTTTCCTCTTAAGCAGAGAGTGCCTTTAAATTTACAGCACTCTTTTCGTGATCCCCTCAAACATCTTTGTAGGGCCATTAGAAGAGATGCTACGCGAAGACCACAGAGCATAACATCTTTTACCCGATCCATTAATGATTAAACAACCTGGACCACAGGCAGACAATTCATTTTGGTAGCTAAAGAAGAGCACATTTTGTCTAATTTGACAATAACGACAGTCATGATCTTTCAAGGTAGGCCAGTGTCACTGGAATCCAGGTTAAAAAATATCTATTAAAAAGGACCCTTTTTATAGTGGAGGGAACTTGTGAAAATTTTCTGGAAGACTGATCAGTCGAATATCAATTATTTGATGTAAAAAGGCATGGCATGTAAAACAAACCAAGCAACAAGATCGATGGTAATAAGGGTTTTATATTTTTCAGGCCAGCACTTTCCATCGTAAGATCTATAGGTACTTAAAAGTCCAAACGGTACCTAAAAGTCTAAGACCTATAGTATAGGCTCTAAGTATGTGTAGCATTTCTGGAAAATTTTCTCCATTCAGTTAATACATCAGAGTAAATTAACATGTACGCCTACGTATTGCCATCAGCGCTCTAGATATAAAAGGAATAGAACACGTACCATCAGCATACCACCAATCACAACCGACCTTTGTCTCTGAAAAGACAAGCCTTTCGATAATGGACAATCCATCTGTCCAATTATTATGCCCACCATGAATCCAAAGCTCGTTGGCATGAGCCAGCGGACCTGATCTTTTATTGTAGTATAACCTGACTGAATCCCCACCTTGATACTCACTAGGTTCAATGAACCAAACATTATCAACAGACCTTGCTGCCATTTTCAAAACCTGTTTTAAAATTTCTCTTCTCCTTTCAGTCTCTGCCTTCGCCTGTGCTCTGTCAGCTTCACTGGCAACCTTCTCTGCTTCTTTTCGTCTCAGCTCTTCTTCTTGTCTCTCCCTTTCAGCCCTCTCTTTAGCAAGCCTTTCTAGTTCCTTACGTTTCTCCTCTAATAAGAAATCTTCAAATGTAGACGCATCCATTCCCCCTTCCACAGATATGCAGAAATCTCTTTTATCATTATTTTCATATACATCTTTCCCATTAAAGAAGACAAAGTCTATCTTGTAAGCCTCTTTGGGAACATGAATCTGACAAGACCACCAATCCCCGTCTAGATAAGCTCTGTTTAACCTTATGGTAAAAGATTTCCACTTCCAGTCATTGAATGCTCCCATAATCAAAACATCTGGCTCGTCATTCAGAATGGAAAGACTCCTATTAAAGAATACTTCTATATCTTGATCAGGTTTTACAACTGGCGGAAAAACAAACACTTGATTGCCACCTAAGAAGTTTTCCTCGGCCAGTCTCTCAATTTCCTGTTTCTTTGCATTTGCTTCCATCTCCAACTTTAATTTTAAAGAATCTTCCTCGGTTAACTTTTCTTCTCTCTTGAGGGGTTCATCATCCGCATAGTTATCTAAGACATCTGAAACAGTTTCATCCGGTCTATTCTCCACTTCTTTCTCCCGTGATCTTTTATCTATCCCACTAAACCTACCTACCATTCCATTTTCTATATCTGCAGTATTTTCACCAACAGAAGTAGACTTGCTTGTCAAAGAACTTTTAATGTCTGCATGATTCTCAATACCTTTTTGTACATCTTCATCCTCCAGCGAAATTTTACCTGCTATGTCTTCCTCATCCCCTACTTTCAATTTAAGTGTTGCCTGGATGGGCGGCTCTTTTTGTGTAGCAGATTTTAGCTTTGCAGAGCCTTCTTTCTCTCCATCTCGACTTCGATCTGTTTTAGGGGTGCTTGCTCCCACAGGCGCTTTGGGTTTGAATCCCTTGGGCGCAGAGCTTTCAAGTCTCGCTGTTGACAATTTCCTAGATCTCTTCCTTGAAGAATCTATCAATGATTCAGTTTCAGTTTAATCATAATGATGGATAGAAAGTTAGAACTATGAGATATAAACGGAAAAACTGAATGATAACCTGACTGGCGTGCAGCGGCAACAATTCTGAACGACGTCCCAGCTACAAGGTGCCCTCTGAACCACAAGGGAGACTGAACCATAAAGGTAAAGCAAGAAATGAAAGGTTTAGGTACGTCAACTTCGATTACAAATGTCAGAAATAGGAAAAGTAAGACATTTCAGCAAGGCAAGTGGTGTGATGCGAACAGATTATGAGCAAGTCTTCCAGAACTCTGCTCTTGTGGTTAAGAAATTCATCGTCTCATCATGCATTTCCAAATTTTTTCTCAAGTACGACATTAAGCTTACTCCTATCCTCCGAACTGATAGAAAACGAATAGAATGATGAAAAACAGTCCACTCGAGATAGAAACTACGCAGCAAATCTCAAGCACGACAACTTCTAACTCAAATGGACATCGTTTCAATCAATCACCAAATAACCAAAGAAGCAGAAAATGAAAACATACAGAAGAATGGAAACAACGACAATTCAACTCAAGCGAAAAATACCAGTGTACTAGAAGTAGTAGACGACGCTCTATTTCCATGAAAGAGTTTGAACTTCAAACTCCCTGCGCCTGCTTCACTGAAACTCGTCGTCCTCCAACTTCGCGACACATGAGCTTGCAGAGCCACCTCCATAAGGGGCAGGACGACAGCTAGAATACTCCGCTTCCTACTCTTGCTCTCGGGTAATGGGTTCAACTCAAACAGAAATTCATCGAAACAAGCTTCAGATCGAGCTCCCGATCAATCCGCCTCCGGAGCTGCACAACTGAGTAATAATTAAAGAAGGAACAATAAAATAAATCATAACCCAATATGGAGAAAAGGACGAAAGTTTCATAAGAACACACCATGCAGAGCTCCGGCGATAAACAGCAAAAGGGGAGTGGAATGGGCACGCTCTCAACCATTCGTATTTTTCATTACCGTGCATCCGAGGCAGCCAACAGAGGTCGGACACGAGATAACCGTCGATGAGTCCAGCCGAGTCGGTGGTTTTTGGTTGGAAGTGGAAATGGAAGAAGTAATTTAATCAGAAAATCAACGGTGGGAAATGGTTTTGGGTGTGGAGGCTGAAGAGCGGTGAGGGCTTGTGTGATGGGCGGCCAATAGAAGGGAGCAATCAGAAATTGCCACATCAAATGGTAACGTGCCACGTCATGGTACTGGTCCTGAATATTCTCTTTTTAGTTACGCGGTAATCACTGATTAAGAATGAAAGAGAGAGGGAGTTTCTAATGGGATGATTATCTTTTTTTGGTTAACTGATTTGATAGATTTCATTTCGAGTTTCTTTTTTCTTTTTTTTAATACTTTTATTTCGAGTTGGTAACGCACAAATATTCTACTTTCATTTCGAAATATAAATTATAACATTCGCAATAAATAATATTTTGTCTCCTTAAAATAGGATAACAATTTTTTCTTTTTTATTTAAATAAGATAACAATAATTAGTATTAATATTATGTCAATAATATTTTGTTAATAAATACTATTTTTAATATTTTATCAAATTTTATACATCCTTTTTAGTAAGTTGGGGATATGATAATTTAAATCTTCAAGAGTAAGTTCATTCAGCACTAAATTATGTTTATATTGGCATTGATTCACCCTTCATTTCGATATTGAATCCACATGGTTCAAAAAAAATTTAATACCCTACTTTATTTCAATTTTATACCCTACTTTATTTAGATTTGAATACTTATACCCTACTTTATTTCAATTTAATACCCTACTATATATATATATAATATATATATATAGGAATAAACTTTTTTTTGTCATTTTTTGCCCTTTCCTTTTTACCCTTTCCAATATAAATTTGGAGGCTAATTAGTCATTCAACAATCTCTTTTATATATTTAGTAAAAATTATTAAATGCCACCGTAAAGATCTACCCAAGCCAGAAAAGAAATTTTGTAAAATTAGAAATTAAGACCACCTACTATTTATACTCTAAGAAAGTTCGGTTTCAGAAAGAGGAAAAAATAAAAAACCAACAGAAAACAAAATCGAAGAGAAAATGGGAGAAAAGAACCAAACAATCCAGCGGCATTACCCTACACGCTTCATGTTTCCCTTTCAATACTATATAGTAATAAACAATCATCAATATTAATTTAATGCCCAATTATATCATTCCATTCAAGTTCCAAAAGATGTTTCATCTTCTTCATCCTTGTATGGATGAGCGAAGTAAATGCAAATTGGTTTTACTTGCCAAAGGAAGATTCTCTCTTTTTTTTTTTTTTTTTTGATGATGTAAGAGATTAGTTCGTTAATTTTTACCTATTTAATACATAAAAAAATATAAAATTAAATCATATACTAATTTTCTAATTAGATGTTTTAATCGTGACAATCAATTAAATTTATTTGCTATATAGTAAAATAGGACTAAACATTTCACATGTTACTCACTAATATATAAAAGAATTTTTTCCTAGCTAAAAAAGAAATATGGTAAATTTTTTCAATCTTATATCATTTTATGTTATCTTTTTTTAGTACAACATGTGAAGGTTAGATTCGAACTAATAGATATCTTAATTAATTGAGTTATGTTTAATGTTATCTTTTTTTAGTACAACATGTGAAGGTTAGATTCGAACTAATAGATATCTTAATTAATTGAGTTATGTTTAAGTTAGCTATGATGTTATATAATTGATTATCATTGAAATATTAATTCTTTTTTGTACTATTTTTACAAAATATTTTATCATGCAAAAAATTTGTGATTCGAACAAATTTGCTTTTACTCTTTGTTTTCAGACCTGCTTAAAAGGCAAAAGTTGTCTTATAAGACGAGATCCATTCCGACCGTGAAGTCGAGGAAGTACACCAAATCATTTGAAAGAACAAAGACAAGCACAACGCGACTTTATAAAATCAAAGAATTGTAGCTTTGGGAATAAATTTTTAAGAGTTAACGAAGTTTCAATGGAAAACAAAGAAGCAGAACGAGATGACTTTGCATATATTCTATAAAATTGCATAATTGAATGATATCATGAATATGGAAACACCGATTGAAGTATGTTAAGGAGGGAAGGAAGGAAAAGGGGAAGCAAATATTTTCGGGAGAAATATACACAAACAGTGACCAGATTAAGTCAAGGCATTAGCACCAGCAACAATCTCTAATATTTCCCCAGTGATCTTGGCTTGCCGCTGTCTGTTGTACACAATCGACAGAGTTCTCTTCAGCTCAGAAGCATTATCAGACGCATTGCTCATGGCGCTCATTCTAGCCGCGAGCTCACTGGCCAGAGATTCTTGCAGTGCCCTCAAAACCTGGCTGTTCAAATACAGAGGCAATAAAGCATCCAGGATCTGAACTGGGTCCTGCTCAAACTCCAAAATTGGAGAGAAATCTGATGTGCTTGTCCTTACTGCATCCCTTTCCACTGTCAATTTCCCTTCCTTAGTCGTCAGCCTGAAAAACTCATCTTCTGCAGCATCCACGCAGATTCCATTTACGTCACAGATTTCTCCTTTGGGCGAGAGAGGAAGAAGGGTGTGGATTACTGGATCGGATTTGACCAAAGACACGAATTTGGTGTACAAAAGCTCCACTTTATCAACCTCCTCGCTGACAAAGAGCGAGAAAACATCATCAGCTATGGACTGAGCTTCTTTGGCAGTAGGAAGTGTGCCACCTTCGAGAAACTTATCCACTGGAATGTAAGGCCGGCGAAGGAAGTAGGAGTTTCCCTTTTTGCCAACACTGATGACGGTGTATTCAACACCCAGTTGCTTCAATTCTGAAATTCTGGCTTCGGCTTTCTTTATGATGGTGTTGTTGAAACCACCGCAAAGACCACGGTCGCCGGTGACGACGACTAATGCAACCTTCTTGACAGGCCTTATTTTGGTTAGAGGAACATCAACGTCTTCCGTTTGAAGTTGCTCGTTGATGTTGTAAAGGACCTCAACCAGGGCTTCTGAGAAGGGCCTTCCATTAACCACAGCCTCTTGAGCCCTGCGGACTTTGGCTGCAGCAACAAGCTTCATAGCCTCAGTGATCTTCTGGGTGTTCTTCACCGAGTCGATACGGTCTCGGAGATCCCGGAGACCACAATGGACCGGGGAAACCGACCATGGTCGGGACGGATAGCTAGAGCTTGAACTCTGGGAAGGAAGCTGAAAAGGGCTCAGAAAAGTGCGGGAAGAGAGCGATGATGCATCAGAGACGGTGGGTTTTGAAGACACCCACATGGTCAGATTGGAACAAGACATGGTGTAGCAGCCGGGGAGGGAGCTGTGGCTTGGCGGAGAAGAGGATCTGCAAAGGGGGGTTCTGGTTTTTCTTCGGGTAAAGTCTTATCTTCATTCATTGGCGATGGTGGTTCTGGTTCGCAAGAAAGGAGTGGGAAATGAGTGGAGTAGAGAACTGAGAGAGGATGAGGTTTAAGGATAACGATTTCGACAGTTGAGAAGGCCGGAGGCAAGCTATTGATTCAATTAGTAATGGTGGGTCCATTGTTCCATCTGTCGTGGTGGCTGAGATGTGGATACAGGATTTTTAGTTTTCAGCAATTTTTCTAGTTCCTGCCAATATTCTCTCTGTAGGCAAATCTTGCCAACCTTTTTCTTTCCTGGAATCAGAGACTTCAGAGAAAGTATAAGAAATAATAAAACTCAACTACTGAGTGGCAGCGTAGCATAGAAGAATTATCAGAAACATTCTTCCAGCACATGTGGGGGTCTCTATAAACTATGACACATTGCCATCAGAGGGGAGATTGATGGGCGACAAGGCTGACAGCCGAAGAAGATCATTTCTGGGAAATTGGATTACATAATCCAAGGCAAGAATGTTGGAATTACTAGAACCTGAAATGTAATTTTAGCACTTGAGAAAAGTAGAATTAAGACAGATGATACAAGTGCCAAAATTATCTAAGAGTTTGTAATTACAATTTACAAGTAATATTTTGCATTTGATCAGTTCAAGAATACAAGGGGCAAAACACTTGCATTTGTTATATGATACAGTTTTGGAGCAACGGATATCAAAATTTCCTGATCATTTGGGAATGATAGATGTTTTTGCTGGAATCGTTCATCCTACTGCTGCAATCCACCCTGGATGTCACGTCGAATAATCAGAAGCGCATGCCCCTACTACGTCCTGCCAGCTACCCTTGGACATTTTCTTGAAGGCAGGGGCTGACAAGAGACTGGTATGTTTGCCTATCAGGAACTGCTCCCTTAAGCACCATGTAATCATGTAACTCAATTACATCCTCGGGGCCACGACTCTTAACAAAATTGGTAATGAGAGTCGTATATGTTATAAAGTCCGGGACTATCCCCTGGTTAGTCATTACTCTCATCAGCTCCTTTGCTTCAAGGACAAAACCCATCTTGCACAGAAAGTTTATCATTATATTGTAAGTAACTCTGTTCACCAAGCTCCCCACACTAATCATTTCTAGAAACAATGCAAATGCCTTCTCGACGTTCTCATTGATGCAATATCCATTTAGCAATGTGTTATAGGTTACTGCATCGAGGAAACTGCTTTGCTGCAATTTGTCTACCAAAAGTTTAGCAGCATCTACTGAACCTTGCTTGCACAAACCATCTAAAATAGAATTATATACCACCAAGTTGGATTTTCCATCTGCCTTTACTGTTTTATCATAAATCTGAATTGCAGTTTCCATTTTTCCTTCTTTGCAGCACCCATCAACCAGAGTTCCATAAGTAACTGTGTCAGGCTTGATACCACGAACAATCATACTGCTCAATAATTGCTTGGCACCTGCCTTATTTTGGCTCCGTAACATATGGTTGATGAGAATGTTGTGTGTAAAAGCATCTTTTACGAGGTTTCTTTCAAGAACGTGATCATGTGCTCTTAGTGCTTGATTGAGATATCCATTTACACAGAGCCCCTTCGTAAGGATTGAGAAGGTAAACTGATCCGGGAGGATATGCCTATTAATCATGTCAGAGAGTAGAATAGCAGCTTCTTCTAATTCTCCTTCCATATAAAGCCAGTAGATGACGGAATTATATACAACAGTGTCTGGAATCAACCCCAATTCAACCATTATATCACACAGCCTAAATGCTACATCCAAACTCCCTTTTCTTGCATACCCGTCTATCAAAGTGGCATATGTTCTCACATTGAAGTCTACTCCCAGCTTAATCATTTCACTAAGAACATTTTCTGCAGTCTCTAATCTCCCTATTTTGCAGAACCCATTCAAGATACAATTATAAGTAACTATATTGGGCAATACACTGCCTCCTGAAATTACCCTAGTGCTCCTTGCAAGCTTCAAAGCAAGAACCATGTCGCCCATTTTACTTGCCTTATCAATGATCATATTAAAAGTAACGACATTAGGCCAGATTTCAATCTTCAACATCAAATAAACTACAGAGATTGCTTCTAGTAATTTACACTCCTTACAAAAGGCATAAATAAGCAAATTAAAAGTATTCACATTTTCACTGTACCCACAGGACACCATTTCCTTATACATGTTCCAAAACTTATCAGTCTCGTCCAACCTTAAAAGCTGATTTAAGAAGTTATTCCAAGCATGAATCGTTACCCAAAAACCTTCCTCTCTCAACTTTTTGATTACGTCGTAGGCACCTTCCACAGTCCCTAACAGAGTGCAAGTCCTCACCAGTGCATCAAAGACTGCCGGATTTGAATTACAAATTTCATAGCTACCAATCAACCCTTCCAGAACCTCCAATGGCGATTTACCATTTTTAAGCATTAAATTCTCCATTATAGACAGCGCATCATTGAAGTTTCTGGAATTGACCAACACATGAACTAAGGTACAACATGATTCCAACGAGTGCGAAAAGTTGTCTCTCGTCTCAACCCAGTTGTAGAATTCTAAAGCTAAGTGTGGAGAAGTCCGAAACTCGCGAACAATGCGACAGACTAACGAATTTGTGAGACTTGGTGATACTTGGTCTAAGAATTTCCATCTTCTCTGTTTTAGATTAACACAAACTGCTTTACAAATGATATCCTCGGTGCCTGGACTTAAAAGCTTCTTACCTGTACGGAAACCTCGGCAGAAAACACTTCTCAGAAAAACGAAGCTAAAAACCATAGAATGCGGAAAACCCAGTTCATGAAATTTCCTAAATCTGCAAGTAAAACAAAATGAAGAAAACTCCAACTAAGTAAACCTCTAAATACACTTATATTCATATTTCTTGAAGACTTAAACAGTGTGAAACAAAATAAAACCCTAATTTCGTTCAAATACAACAAATAGGGAAGATAAAATCAGAGAATGACCGAACCTAGTAATCAACAACAGTATCTCACCTCCGAAGCTTCGCCAAGGAGAACAGAGGATACAGGAACCACGGAACACAAAGTTCTATACGATAAAACTTCTGCAACCCTTGCAGCTGACGTATTCTGTTCCCAGCTCTGAAATTCTGGTAATCCCTCTCGTGCAATCGGAACTTAAAAGTGGTGAAAACCGAAGATGGCAACAAGATAGAAGCTGGAAAGCAGATATTCAACTATTATCAAAATATTGAACTCAGCACCGTAGTATTCACAACCATTGATTTTCCCGCGCGGTTCCGTCTTAAACCTATGTTACCATCATCCACCCCGCCGTTCCGTTGATGGCGACGATAAGCGAAAGTAGGAACTGTCCTAATAACTACCAGTCTACTCTTTGGGCTAATATGTGCCCTACGGGCTTGAGCTTCGGCCCATTATTTTACGGCCCATTAAATAGCCCACATTAAATAATTCAACTCTATTTAATATGCGCTTATTATTTTTTATTATTATTATTATTTTATAGCGTGCATGTTATTATTTTTATTAATTAAAAGAGTTTGGTAAATTTTTTTTTTAAAATATAAGTAGGGTAGAGATATTCAAACTCAACACTTTCTGATTAGAGATAGGTATCAATTACTACCAAATTCGAACTCAACACATTTTGATTAGAGATAGGTATCAATTACTACCAAATTCATGTTTGCAGTACAATTTTAAAACAAAAATTTGATGGTACCACTCTATAATTTTTGTTGAGTACATCCCTCCACAATTATTTAATTTTAAAGAGAAGTTTACAAATGTCTCGTTCTAATTTAATGGATTTGTTGTAAACTTTAATAATTTACTCACTTTGTATAACATGGCCTAAATAACTTTCCAATACGAGCATGTATGAACAATAAATGATATTTTTTCATTTTTTTAACACAAATCCATGACTCAATTCGGAGATAAATGTAAACATGTTGGGTGGTGGAGATTCACTTGTTAATTTGTTGTAATTTTTCTCTCCTGAATATCAAAAAAAATAGTGTAATTTTTTGTTCATTTGTTGATTTGTCTAAACATGTAAGGGGCGTAGATTCAAACATACAACTTTCTAATTAGAGATAAATGCCTTAGCCCATTCAGTTAAGTTCATGTTGGCTTTTATTTATCTTATATTGGAGCTTTAAATTCTTATACTTTTGAACGAATAAATTAAAACATGAACTATGTTTAACAACTCGAACATAAGATAAAAGTATCTATTTTCAATCAAAATGTCATGAGTTCAATTTTACATTTTTACATGTTGTCCAACTACTCTTAATTTTGTTACACACTTAACTTTTAAATAGAACTAAAATGAATCCAATTAAAAGTAGAGGAACAAAAATAAATATTTTAAAAATATAAAAATCAAAATAAACCAAAATAATATTTTGATTTAAAATAAACAATCAATTTGCAGTGGAGTAACGCTACAGTAACCGAGCTTTGACTCAGGACGCAGCATAAACAAAATGCCGAATCGGGTGGTGGTTGTGGGATCCGCCTCATGTACGGCGTCCGTCGGTGCCCATCGGACGATCAGGATCAGCTTTGCTATTTTACCTTAAAGAATTTTAAATTTTCATGTAAATTAAACCATACATAATTAATAATTCTTTTTAATATATAAAAAGTATTAATAAGCGATTAAAATTATCATAATCAATTTATAAATTTTAAGGAAGTTAATTGAAAGCTGTTGCAGTGAGTTCTATTTAATTTGAATGTTGGATCGAAAAAACCAAATCATAGTCATAAAAACTCAAATGCAACTTAAAAGATTTCAGCATCGAAAATCAAATTCAAAAAATATTTTTCAAAGTGGTTCATGCAGTCTCCTCTTCGTTTTGGATTTTATCCTTCTGGGTAAAGGATCTCTACAACCAAAAATATGAAATCCAAACTACTTTTTGAAAAGAAAAATGCTTTTAAATATAGTGTTTTCATTTTATTAATTACTTATTACGTTTACTTAAGCAATGAGATAGGAGGTTCAAATCAGTAAATATATAAGAGATTAAAATTCCAACCATGCTTTTGTGTCGGCAAATAAACATAATATATACTAATGCTGAAATGACGTCAATGTCACAACATCACTTTCACAAATTAATAAAGTATTCACATGTAATCTTTTACCCAAAGAAAAAAAAAAGAAAGCTTGAATTATTTGGACCTCCGTCGTCCGATGGAATCCAATCCAACCGTCCATTCAAATTCAGTCGCCTTCTGCAAATTTCGATAAATTTCAATTCCTTTGCTTGATAATTAATACAAAAGAAAAAAAAACACATTTTTTTTAATTGCTTAGTCACTCCCAAGCCAACATGTCAGCAATAATAATGCAAATAAAAGGATGATTTAATTTATTGGGGTGAAAGTGAGGGGAGATGATGATGGCTTCCACCGTGTTGTAATTTGTTACACACATTTAAATGTGTGTATAAAATGGACTAGAGAATGACTCATAGTGCTTTTCGGATCAATCATGAAAACTCATTTCATATGGCTTTTTCCGTACCTCTTTATATATATATATATACATACAATAAAAAATCACCACCTTCTTTCCAATTTCAAATTATTTCTAATTGCACTTGTATTATCAATGTAATGTAAATGAAATTGTAGAAAATTCACGAGCTAAAGACTTAGCTATTGAAAATTTCTATTTAAAAAAGAAAGAAAAAAAAAATTTTAAGTGTTCGCTCAACACCTACTAACCATTGTTATATTTCACGAAGGGAAAAAAAAAGGTACAGAAGATATACTTTTTCTAATTTAATAAAAATATTTAAAAACTGTCATATTTTTATTGGTGGTTAGGTACCATAACTACCAAGTCTAATGTACACCAAAGATAAAATTCATGGACTCTAGTTGTTTTTTGATTAATTAAATTATATGCATAAAATTGAGCGAAAGTACGATGCACGTTAAAATATTTTAGTAGAGCAATGTTGTCATTCAAATATAAATATCTCAATTCCTCTCATTTTATCTCTCTTTATAAATATTATTTCTCAATCTTTATAAATTTTATCTCTCTGGATCATCACCCCTTAATTTTCTCTCTTTTCCTAAATACTATCTTTCCACACCTAAAATTATTTTTGGACTCAATAAATTATTCTCTCATTAAAATAATAACAAGATATTTCTAAGAGATTCTCACCTCGAGATTCCCCTATCTTTAATAGAGTTTATTGGAAGTCCAAGTCTCGAAAAAGTGATAATAATTTAAAAAATAAAGAAATAAATAAGTGGCATCAGGGTTCCCTGAAAACAATATTTTAAAATTTGTCCCTCAAAAAAGAAATTAAAATTAAATATCGTCAATATGACCAAATTTCATTTTTTTTATAGCTCACCATGTCCCATTTTCATGTCCATTTAAAAAAATAATAAAATAAAAGAAAAGAAAAATAAAACTTTTAAAACAATATAATCACAATTATACCAGCTACACTAAAGTTTTGAGAAATAATTCAAATTTGTAAGAGTATGCCAGATGTTCATGTGTACCTTTACTTTTATAAGGAGCCATTACATCACATTTCTCTCTTCGATTTAAAGAGAAAGTTGGAAAAAAAAATATTTTGAAACGATTTTAAATTTGAAAGGTAAAACTGAAAAATTTTGAAAGTTAGCATAATTGAAATCTATCATACACTTTAGAGGCAACTTAAGTAATTTAATAAAAAAAAATAATATATAAAAGAAACAATATCAATATAGTATGACCAACGCTACCACTTTATATTGAATTGTTTCATTCTCCCGTCAAACTGAACATAGCTCAAGAGTTAAAACACCTATTTCTAATCAAAAAGTCTGAATTCGAATCTTCACTTCACACGTTGTACTACAAAAAAATTTCATTCTCCCACGACAGAGGATAAACAAATTATTGTCTTACTACAGTACATGTACTAATATTTTTATAACTCATTCTCCTTTCAAACATTATAAAGTTGTATAATATAAACTATTTTTTTTATATAGAATTTAGATAAATGGGCTTTTATTTTTGTCCACATAAAATTATTATTATTATTAAAAAAATACATAAAAAAAAACAACAAAGACTTATCTCCATCATAAATATACTAGATGTTAAATAAAAATATAAATACGAACCAATATTCTGAATAGAATTATAAGAAAGAAACAAAAAAAAAAAGGTTATGTTTCACTTTTTAGTTAAATTGTACATATTGATGTTTTTACTAAGAATATCGAAAATAAAAATACTAATAAAAAATAAATGGACACGTGGGTAAGAGAAATATGAGATCTTACCGATGAAATAAATGTATGGCAGTTCGTGCTGACTCATCCTTCAAGTTTCATCAAAACTTCACGAGAGAGGATTATAAAATGAAAATAAAAGCTAAAGTCCAAGAAATCTGTCAAGAGTAGTAAATGAATCACAGCGCCATTGAAAGACAACTCAAATTGCATGCAAACCCAGAAAATTATTCAACAAACCCACGTCAAATTTCTCCTCAAAATCCTATTTTTATCACTTCCTCCAACTTTTCTTACCCAAAAGTGAGGGAGTTTCAAGACCATTAATATACAAAATAATCCATCCTTTACTTTCATAACACCCAAAAAAATCTCTCTTTTTTCTCTCTCTTTCCATTATTTAAGAAGTAGCCAAGTGAGAGCCAAAAGCAAGTTCAGTGGACAGTGTTGAAAGAAAGAACCACAAGAGAAATGGGTTCCAGAACTCTGTTTTTCTTCATCTTGCTTTCCTTTTTAGCTGCTTCTTTCAGGTCTGCTTCTGCGGAGGACGAGGCAGACAATGGACTTGTTATGAACTTTTACAAGGACACGTGTCCCCAAGCTGAAGATATCATCAAAGAACAAGTCAGGCTTCTCTACAAGCGCCACAAGAACACTGCATTCTCCTGGCTCAGGAACATCTTCCATGACTGCGCTGTTCAAGTAATTCTCTATAATCTTTCCATGGATTTTCCCTCTTTTTCAAATTTCTGGGTGATTTTTGCTGATATAACCTCGTATTGATGTCGAGGGCAGTCCTGTGATGCATCTCTGCTGCTGGATTCGACAAGAAGGACCCTGTCCGAGAAGGAAACTGACAGGAGCTTCGGACTCAGGAACTTTAGGTACATTGAGACCATAAAAGAAGCAGTGGAGAGGGAGTGCCCTGGAGTTGTGTCCTGTGCGGACATCCTCGTCTTGTCCGCCAGAGATGGCATTGTTTCTGTAAGTATATGTATTCTCTTTCATTCTCTGTTTTTTCACTAACTTTTCCAGATTTAGAAGTTGTAATTGGCTGTTTCTTTTTGCAGCTTGGAGGACCTTACATCCCACTTAAGACAGGCAGAAGAGATGGGAGGAGAAGCAGAGCTGATGTGGTGGAAGAGTACCTTCCAGACCACAACGAGAGCATGTCTGTTGTTCTTGAAAGATTTGCAGGCATGGGTATCGACACCCCTGGAGTGGTCGCTTTACTAGGTAAACGTTCGATGTCCCATGTCTTGATACGCTCCACTGCGTCAGCTTAAGCTTTTGGGGTTAGTGTTAATTTAGAATCTGATATTAGAGCAGCAAATTTTGTGTTCGAACCCTGTGTTAATTTCAGTCTCAGTATCACTTTTCAGACTTTCCAAACAGGAGTCCTGCAGAAGCTTGTTAAAGTTCCCATTTTGATCTATGATCTCCCAATATCTTTTTGGATGAAAAAAGTCAGTGAAAACTTACTAGATCTGAATTCATATGCCATGGTGCAGGAGCTCATAGTGTTGGTAGAACACACTGTGTGAAGCTGGTTCACCGGCTGTACCCAAAGGTAGACCCTGTGCTGAACCCTGGCCATGTAGAGCACATGCTGTACAAGTGTCCTGATGAGATCCCAGATCCCAAGGCTGTGCAGTACGTGAGGAACGACCGTGGCACACCCATGATTCTGGACAACAACTACTACAGGAACATACTTGACAACAAGGGGTTGCTGATAGTGGACCACCAACTGGCCACAGACAAGAGAACAAAGCCATACGTGAAGAAAATGGCCAAGAAGCAAGACTACTTCTTCAAGGAATTCTCTAGAGCCATCGCCATCCTCTCTGAGAACAACCCTCTCACTGGCACAAAGGGTGAGATCAGGAAGCAGTGCAATGTTGCCAACAAGCTGCACTGAATGAATTGTGGGCTAAAGAAAGAAGAATCAAGCTCTCGCTCAAGATCCATTTCTCTGGTTAAGGGAGATGGGAGTGAGGTTTGGCTGAATAAGACTGGTTTTTCCATCTGTTGTTAGGTTTAGGTAATTAAAGTGGGTTTGTTTTGATGGAATCTGTGCTGGTGACTGCTGCTTCTGTTTGTTCTGTAGGATTATGCTAAGTTGTGCTTATATTACAAGCTTGATGTTGGTAAAAGGGGAATATATGGATGGATGTTGGAGCTGTATGTATGTATGAAAGGATGGTGTATGGTGATGGGTTTTTCATGATCCGTGCGAATGTACTTAATTTATCTTCTTGTCGTGATAAAAGCTGCACAATGGCAAGAGATTCAGGCTTTGTACTACAATCATACTGAATTAGATGCGATTACATGGTTAAAAAGCACTGAAAATATTGGAAGGAGAACCAAAAGAAAGATCTGTCCATGTAAAAAATAAGATAAATAAACAGAAAGGAAAAGATTCATTTGCATCCAAGTAAATGCACTTGTCATGGTATTTTGCAACAAAATAATTGAAATCTTGGGACTCACATTGGATGAACGTTTGACTAGTGGAGCCAGATGAAGAAAATTGGAACAAGAAGAGAAATAACAGTCAATAACAATATTAGAATTTTCACAACTTTAGCAGTAACGATTCTTGAGCATCTACTAGCTGATAATAACAAATCTAAAGATGGTATTCTTTTTTTTTATCAACAAGAACTTATCAAGATGAGTGAAGATGCTACAGATAAATCTGATAATAATTTTTCATTCAGATGAATGGAGGAATAATACAAAAACAAGGAGTGGTGACTTAGTCATCATCTTACCCCACTTAGAATGAGACACAAAAGTAAGGGAATAACTGATAATGTGGGTCCTAAATTTAAAGCAGAGTAATACAAGGGGAGACCGAGTTACCGTTTGCTGCTTGTTGATATGTTTTAATCTTTACTGCTTGAAGTACTGTCAGAGTTACTATCCGTTTCTTCTGAGATGTCCTCATTCTTTGCATTTTCTTCCACAGGTTTTAGTATGAAGGGGCTGCATGGAAGGCTGCCACAAGGATGAGTTTGGAAGGATATACAATTTCCACTAGATGGAAAAGAATGGTAAGTATAAGGAGAAGGGTAAAGTCCTGGATTGAATGAGTTGGGAGGAGGCCAATACATCAGAGGAACAAATGCGTTTGGTGGGAAATAATTAAATGGGTGTTGATTTTGGTAGGAGGCCACACCACAGGAACTTCCAACCACTGGGTTGGAAATTGGATGGTTACTATCAACTGGTGTCTGAGATGGAGATGGCAGTGACTGAAATGCTGCCACAGCACTAGTTTGGATTGAAGTATATCCTACTGATCCAATTTGTGTTGAAAATGATGACTGATGGGCTGCTGTCTTTTGTGAAGAGCCAGGTTGTTCATTGGTGTTACTTTGTTTTTTCCCCCTTGGTTTTGTTGGAATAGTTCTTCCAGCTAGCTGCTCCTGAACAGATTTGTCATCCTGTGTTGAACAAAATTGTGTCAATATCTCAACCTTCATGATGCAATTTGCAGAATTATAGCATCTGAAACACTTCACTGAATATGAGTACAGAGATTCTGAGTTAAGAGGGGTTGCGATCTTACAAATTTGTCAATCGTTGAGCGTGCGAGGAATAACTCTTCGCCTTCGGCATCTTTGTCTGTCCTGCAACAGTAAGTTTATTGCTGAAGTGCTACATTGTATGATTGTGGTTATAAAGTGTCACTAACAATCTTTTTTGGTAAATAAATCGAGAACATCCTATAATTTGTTACAAAAAGGAGCTTTATTATTATGTCAAAGACAAGGATCTTGAGTTGTGGCCACAATCCTCCAAAATCCATATTTCAAAATGCACCTTTCTTGCTTCATTTTTCCTGTCATGCTACTTCGTTTGCAATTTAATACCTGTAGTATTTCTGAAGCAAGTCCAAATTACGATATTTGGTTTCTTTGCGGACGAGATCATCTGGAAAACCAGCCATGAAGAGAAGGGTAATGCCCAAGGCTTTGAAGAAAAAACTCCCACTGCGAGTATTAGCCAGCATAGCCATCCTGCACATGAGTGGCCCAAAAGACTTGAGCTTGTTTCTTCCCATTCGCTGCCTCACATATCTGGCCATAATCAGTGACAAAATCTTCATAACAGTTAATAACTATGAACACAACTACGCAAAGGAAACTTCTAAAGCTAATCCATGTCAATGAGAATGATAAAAATTGAAATAACGAAGCGTGCTCTCCTTCCCAAACGGTTATCTTACTCGTTCTGCGGGAGGTTCCTCGTCCTGCCGCCGTATTTGATGCAGAGAAATAAGCAAGAAGGACAGTTAGCATCCAATGGTCGCATAGCTTTCTCTTCCTCAAGTATTTGAACAGGGCATAATGTCGGGTGGTGTCTATTGGGGTAGAAGATCTTCCTCCTCACACCAGGATTCTCATACAAGACATGCTCCTGATAACAAGTACTTTTTAGCCTAACAATGGAAAGAATCAAAGAAGGAGAGCTAACTTTATTATCCTACGAAAATGAAAACATTTAAACTCCATGGGAGTAAGGAGAGGAAATACAACACATTTTTTGAAACATGTGTCTAATAAATCTTGAGCTGCTTACCCCAGGATCTTGAGGAGAAATGAATGGCTCTCCTTTTCTTAGAATACTGAAATGATTGAAGTCTAACTCGTAGATCTCCTCACAACCATGCCTTATACCAAGACATGAAAAAACTACTATCTTCCTCATGGTGTGGGACTGTGCATTTTTCTGCAGCAAGATTTCTGATTCAATAATCCCCTTTACTTCTTTAGGACAGAAAGCTAACTTTGGAGGCTTTCTTTGGAGTGATACATTTCGTAATCCTACATTATACACTAAAGTTTTTTTGGCTTCACTTCTCTCTTCTACCTCAGTTTTAGGCTCCTGTCCTTTTCCATATTCTTCAGCTTCTGTTTGCTCATCTACAAATGTTGGCTTATTTTCAGCACAAGAGCGGTTCTCCGAATATCCTGCATTCGAATCGAGATCGATATCTTGTTCAATATCATGGACACTTTTTGAATTCCCATTAATTTCCCAATCCTTTATGTCAAAAGGAACATCAATCTCCTCCTGATAATAATCATCTTCATCATCGGTTTCGTCTGTATCTACACCATCCGCAGTAACATCACATTCCTTCAATTTTTCACAATGCACAAACTGTGTCTCATCCATACTCATCCAACTGACCAATCGATTTTCTGGATTTGCATCTTTGGGGGTGAAACAGTGAGTGCCACACTTCATTACTGTTTCATTTTTCTCAACACTATCTTCTTTGCTTCTTTTAAGCCTCTTGAAGCTTCTTGGCATTGACTTGGAACAACTGCCCTGAAATGAAAAGGTGAAGAAATGGTCGTTGAGCACATGAAAGAAAATGAAAAGAAATCAGTGACCAAATTAGAACCAAGAAATCATACAAGTCCATCAGCAAGTTGGGTTTCCTTATACACTCTTTCCTGTAACAATTTAGCTTCAAGAAATGATATTCTGTCCAGCAGTTCAGCATTTCTCTGTCTCTCCCTCTGTAACTCATCGGCCATTTGTGCAATAACATTCACATTCTCCCCTTTGGATTCCTGGTCTATTGCAGCACATAATGCAGGCCCATTCACTAAACCAGCACAACCTTGAAGCTCCACCATCGACAAAATTCCAAAAAGACTATAGCTTAGGAACAAATCATCAACTTACTTCCCAATCCCAATACCAAAATTCGTCAAGAGAGCAAAATAACAAAAAAGAGGCTAAAATCAAAGAAACCCTTCTCGGAAAGGAGAGATTTTCCTCAAGCAAATGCTCATGAATAGAGAAGGAAACTTGAAAACAATGGGAAATGTAAATGGTGAAAACAATGGCAAATGTAAATGGCCAAAATTTCAATGAGAAACAAAATGCATTAGAAATTAGTTGAACAAAGATGAATCCCAGAACAGAGCAGAGCAGTGGGGAGAAGAGATGACATGCAACAGCACGTGCAGTGGCATTCTCTCTATCGTACCAAATTGCATATTAAAATGCCAAAAAAAAAACATTGCTACTTTCCATGGCACAGTCACCATATCCCATTAAATTACATTATATTAAATTTCATAAGTAGTTGAATAAATACGAAGTAAAAAATCGTAACATGTGTCTTATCTGCTGACTTACTTTAAATTTATAAATGATTTATAATAAATATTTTTAATTAAAAAAAATGAAAGTACATGTTGGATTATATATGTTAAATTAATAGAGTTGGGAAACAGCTGTAATTGCAAAGGGGATTCTTATTGGAGGCCTAAAAGAGAGGCATCAGTGAAGTTTCTGCCGCCTGTTTCTTGGATTATTAAACTTATTCCGCAAATTAATTCTCTAATATTATTTTTAAAATAAAAAGATATTTGGTGGATTAATCTTTATCCTTTTCACCCTTGAATATTTTACAATTCATTATTATATAATTTTTTTTAATTTCTCTCTTTGGATGGTGAAACATTTAAATAGAAAAAAAAAACAAGATTCCTCCATGTATTTTTCTTTTGAAATAACTAGTTTTTTTTTTCTTTTTTAAATTAATATGTCAGGGAAAAGAAGGATCTATATTTTTCAAATTCCAAACAGACTATGGGATAATAATAGAAAAATGCGTGCACACGTGCAAATAATAAAAGTAGTGGGGGAGGCATTGAGTAATAAAACAAGCGCACGTGCAGGTGCAATGCTGATTTAAATTAAATGTTTGTCCCTTAATTGCAGTTTTTTTTGGTGTCAGGGGAATACTAAGCTCTCAACCTTGGATGCCTATTCTCTAAACTTTTTGGGGCAGCTCGGGTAAAATGACAAGAATGTCCTTCGTCCAGTATTTGTGTTCAACGGCTGTTTGGCTTGGGCAGAATGGTAGTTTCACTTGAAAGGGATTCTTATAGAAGTTAAAAGTAGGGTAAATGCCAATTAATCCCAGCCTTAATTTGCAGCCCCATCAAGAAAAGCATGTGCAAGGAAAACTTGGAGCCTAAGGGTTCCCATGGACGTTTATTTTCCCTTTTTTTTTTATTTGGACCAAACGTGTTTGGAATAAACGTGTATTTTAGATTGATATCAATTGATGTGACCTTACAACATTTAGATCTTGTAAGATAATAATAAATTTTAAAATTCAGTTATCTATTTAATTTTTTAAAACGTTTTCAATATCTAAGCTAAGTTTTGAAAATAAAAAAGTGATCAAAATCTTGGTTATATTTAAGAAATTTGGTTAATAATTTCAATTCATAAATTATACATATTTGGAAAACAATAAGGAAAAGTTTTTTAAAAAGCTTGTTTATTCAATTTTTTTTAATAACGTTGTTTAGTGTTTATTTTTAGGTAAGTTGGTTTAACCAGAAACTAAACGCCAAAGTAAAATAGCATCAAGAAAAATTCATTTTTTAAATTCTGTAAAAAATCATTTCTTTTTGTTTTGAACAAATTACAAATAATAACACTTATTACTATCATTTTTACTTTTCATACGTCATTCATTCTCTTTCTTTTCAAACATTTTTAAAATTTGGGTTAAAATAATAACAAAACTAGTTTCTTTTTTTTTTTTAACAAAAAAGTAGCAATTGAAATATCTACTTGAGTAAATATTTAAAATGTATATACATAAATTAACAAAGGTTAAAAGTTCGAGTTCTTTTAATGGTAATATTAATCCATCAATATATTGTACAAATTAGAAAAACAAATAAGGAAAATTTTAAACTCTTTCTTATATGGTCACTTCTGTAATTTTCATGAAAGGACATAGTTGTAATTTTTTCAAATTATCATTCAAATAATATTCAAATTTATTTATACAATGTTGGCTTTTCATTATATGAAAACATGTTCCAATATCGATTATTCTCCTTTTTCCAGACATTTTTAAAATTTGATTTTTCTAACCAATTATCACACTGTACTTTATTGGTAATATCAATCTAATCAATATTATGAGTATTTCAAAATCAATTGGTAATGAGAAAAGTAGCCTATATGTCTATTGTCTCTTATCCTTTCAGGCGAAATCCTTAAAAAATGACAGAAAAAAAAGTTAGAAAGCGAAGAGCTATATTATACACTTCATGTAGCAACATAAAACCTAAAGTAAAGTAACAAATTATAATTAAATATCATATATAGTATAAATAATGGAATTTTAAACCAACCCAAAAATATATATAAAGACAAAGTAATCGAGACAAAGTAATAGGCCGATCAAATCCGTTACCAATTAACCAAAAAATAACGTACAATGTTATTTCTAATGGAAAGAAAAGAGGACTGATAAAAAATCTTAACAGAAGGACTCGTAATATTATAAATAATGTAAGCTAATCCCTAGACAAGGGAGAAAAAAGCTATATAATTAGTGTATATATATTTGTTCACTTTAGATTTTCTTTCATTATGATTAGAGTAGACGAAGGAGAAAATAGTTATTAAAGAGAGAGAGCGGGGAAAAAGTCCGTTACAGAGAGAAACGACCCACAAAGATTTTTTTTAAAATTAATGTTGAGAGGGGGTAAAAAATGTTTGAGCTAAAAATATTAAAGTGATAAGAGTTAACCATCTCTCGTTGAAAAGATAAGGGACCTAATAAAAATTTATAATATATACGGACTACCCCTCGTTGCCAATTTGTTTTGAGATAAAACTGTTAATCAATCGAGTAATATGATGAATAAGTTGGTTGAATATTTGGTTAAAAGCATGAAATAAAATTGAAAAAAAAAAAGTCGTAGCAAAAAGGCATGCTATTGAGGCATTGTCCTATATATGCAAATTCAAATCGAGCAGATCTTTACTTGGAGTAGAGCATAAACCTAAAAGAACTGAAGAAGACCATTCGAGAATGAAGCCTCATGTATATTGATAAGAAGAAGTTAGTGAACAAGATAGAAATTTTAGAGAGAAAAAAGTTAGGAAGAGAGAGACCGAAAAAAAAAATTATACAAAGAAGAGAGAGAAAAACTAGAGAGTGAGAAATATAAAATTTGGGACAAAAGAAATTTGAAAAAAAAAAAGAGAGAAATTTGAAAGACAAAGTAAAAGAGAGAAAAAAAGAGAGAAATTCAGCCAGGTAGTAGTTAGAGAGAGGTAAAATAAATAAGACAAAATAAAAGTTAGACAAAGAGAGAAAATTTTGGGATAAAAGTTCAAGACACTGATACAAATTTTGGGGGGAGAAAATAGTTAGAAAGAGGGATAGAAAAAGAGGTAAAACATCTTAGACGAAAGAAAAAATGTTATAAAAAGAGTGCCAAACTTTTCAAAGAGAAAAAAATTGTTAAAAGGAAGGTATTAACAAAATTTTTAGAGAGAAATTTCGAGATTGAAAATATTTTAGTGACAAAAATGATAGAAAGAGAGGGACAAGAATTTTTGAGAGAGAATAAAACAATTTTTAGAAAGAGAAAATGCAAAGAGAGATTGAAAATTTTAAAGAGAAAGTAAGAGAGATAAAAAATAAGAGTTGCAAACAAGTTCTTGAGAATGAAGAAAAACTGAGAGAGAAAGATTAAAAGAGAGAAAAAAGTTTGGAAGAGAGAGGGAAAGATTTAAAAGAGAAAAAAATTAGGAGAGAGTGATAAAAAAAATATTTAGAGAGGAAGAATTAAGATTGATAGAGAAAATTTTTCACTAGGAAAGGAGTTACAACAAAGAGAGAAGGTAGAAAGTTTAGAGAGAAAAAGTTGGAAACATGAAAAGTTGCAAATGAAAAAAGTAAATTTTAAAAAAAAAAGTTGGAGATAGGAAAAAAATTTAATCGAGAAAATTTAGAAAGAGAGAAAAAGAAAAGTTACAGAAAAAGGTAAGAAACCTTAGAAAGATAACAAAGGTAAAGAGAGAGTAAGAATTTAAAAAATGTTACAGATATATAAAAAAAGAGTTAGAGACAAATTTTAAAGAGGACAAAAAGTTAAGAAAGTGAGGGATGACAAATAACAATTTTGGAGTATGTTTAGAAAAATAGAGGGAAAATTATTGAAGTGAAAGATATAGAATGAGAGAAAAAAGTTGTAATGAGGAAAAATGTCCGAAAAGAATGATGGGAAAAATTTAGAGAAAAAAAGTTTAAAAAGAAAAACTTAGAGAGAGGGAGAGAAAGCGATGCAAAATATTTAGACAGATAATTAGGTAAAAGAGAGAAAAATATATGGAAAAATAGTAAATAAGAAAAGGAAAATTTTAGAGAGAAAAAGTTTGAAAGGTATAAAAGTTTAGATCGAAAAAATATTAAAAAGAGAGAGAAAAAAATTTTAAGAGAAAAAAAATTGGGGACAGAGAAAAAAAGTAAAATGTTAGAATGAGAAAAGGAAGTTAAAGGAGAGAACTTTTCAAGGATCAAAAAATAATTAAAAATAAATGTTCATAGAAAAAGTTAGAGAAGGAAAAAATATAAAGAGAAAGATAATGAAATAGGGAAAAAGATTGAGAGAGATAAAATATTTTGGAAAGAAAATAGAGACAGAGTTGGACAAAACTTTAAGAGATGGAAAAAAGTTAGCCATTAAGAAACATTTAGGGCCCGTTTGTTTTTTGGAATGCAGATGCCTGAAATTTCAGATGTCTGACATCTTCAGATGACCAAGTTTGTTGAAAATATATAAGGATGTTTGGGAATATCCGGATAACCATGTTTGATTTGC